CTGCTAACCACATGTGGGTTGCGATCCCGTTGCCGGTCCCGGTCTGGTACGGGCGCGACACTGAGGGTTGCGATCCGTTGCCGGTCACGAAAAAAGACAAAAAGGAAAAAAAAAAATCAAGTTTGCACATTTTCAAACTTCAAGCAGTGTAAATTGCCTTCTCAGTAATTAAAAAGATTGGCACAATTTAATTCCCTGAGATATAACTTCTAAACAATGAAATACACATTACTTGCATTCTAAAGTATAAGGAAAACTAAATACAAAAATTTGTGATGGCCTTTAAAGAGAAGGATCTTAATTCTCCCATAAGCTCACTATACAGTCTGATGAAGTAGGTTTAGACAAAGCAAAAATCAAGAAGTATTTCTTTCTCAAAATTTTTTCAAGACAATTTATAGAGTACTTTTCCTAAGTAAACACTGGGATTAAGAACATTTTTCTCTTATTTTCCCACTTGAATAGCCATGAATATTAATAAAACAACTACAATATATTTTGGCCAGGCAATTTTAGAAAGTAAAAGCCTCCACTGGTCATTGGTTCACATATATATTTATTTTGTGTAGACCAAAGTGACTTTTCACCATTTCCTTTCCTATCCGTTCCATGATTCTCAAAATGATAATTTCATTTATACATGGCAGAAAGTTCACAAAACCTTTTAGCACTGTTCACATTTTCACATTTGTTTGGGAATACAGCTAGTTGGTTTTCTTATGATTTCTTCCATTTTTGGAATCCCACATGATTATAATGTTGAAGTATATCAAAAAGAACAGGAAATTCAAGCAGGATGCGAAACACACCAATACAGAAAATAAGTCCGGTAACTGCTGAGGAGGATCCAGTGTGACAGTCATCAGCGTCAGAAGAACCATAGTGATTACTGAGATGAGAAACTAAGGGGGAAAAAATATTTTTAGTAGTAAAAAAGGTAAAATTTAAATGTACTGGTAACATTGATTTGTAGCTATTAAATAAGCAGTATTAAAGGTGAGGGTTGGGTATCCAATCTCTTCTACTTCTGGATCTCAACTTTGGCTTCATGTTAGAATCATCTGAGAGGTTTTAAAAAAATCTCAATGCCCAGGCTACACCCTCAATTGAGAATTTCTAAAGTAGGCCTCAGTACTTTTTAAAGCTCTCCAAGTGATTCCCATGTGCAGCCAAAGCCTGAGAACCCGTCTTATACTTCATACTATCCAGGAACTAAAGAAAGGTTTCTGGGACAGATGTTACTGCTAGAGTTAAATTCATGGCATCTCCTAAGGCCCTGGGTTCCTACAGGATAAATAATTCTAAACTAATCCTAAGAACCCATCTTTGAAAAAAATTTCAAAGGCAAATGGAAAATTACATTTCATATTCACTGAATGCTTTCAATGAGCTAATGCAAAACACCGTGGGGCACATGAAAGAAAATGTGGTCCTCTGGCCTCAAGTTTTCCATTTATTTAGGGGAATGTTAAATAAGATCACAAGGTCTCACTTGATTAAATGGCAAAATGAGTAGTAAAAATAGTTATCACATGTATTGCAATTGTCTAGACCAGTCTAGACCAGTGTGCTGTACAAAAGAACTTTCTGCAATGATGTAAATGTTCTTTATCTGCACAGTCCAATACAGCAGCTGCTAACCACATGTTGCTATTAAGCATTTGAAATGTGTCTACCATGACTAAGGAACCAAATTTTTAATTTTAATAAGTTTAAATTTCTACATGTGTCTGGTGACTACTGTATTGGAAAGTTGAGCTCTAGACTGTAAGCTCCTTTACAACAAGGACCAGCCAGATATTACTCATTTTATCCCTAGCACAGGCCATAGGTATACAAAAGCTGCATAAGTAAATGTAGAAAGCAAGTGATCAGAAACAGAAGTGACTTTCATGAAGGACATGGGACATAAATGGAACCCCCTAAAGGATGCTTTATTGGCTATATTATGACAATATTGGTAAGATTAGAGAGTAATGCAGTAGTCATTCCAGATGGAAGAGTGGGAAGGATAAAAGCCAAAAAGGCTTACAAACAGACATAAACAGAGGCTGCAAGTATCCTCAAAGGGAAAATCCCTGAGGCAACCTTACTGGTGAGTGAAAATTTCTGAAGCGAAGTCAAGATAAAAGTTTCAAACTTAAGTGTGGGACTGATCGAATTGTCATAATGCCATGAACTTGTAATAGAGGTAAACAGGCATGCTGACATTTCTCCCATTTTAAACAAAAACCATTTCTTCCTCCAGCTATTAGTCCATCTCTCTGCTCCAGTTTACCTAAGAGTTGCCTATAACATGCTATGTTCAATTCTCCCATTCACTAGTGAACCCACACCAACTGGGCTTTCCCTTCAATCACTCCATGAAACTTCTCTGGTCAAATAAATATCCATAATTCCCACTGTACTAAATCCAATGGTCAATTCTCATTGCCTTCATTCTTTCAGTAGCATTTGATTGAAATAAGACATCATTCCCAACTTCTTGAAACACTTCCTTCACTTGGCTTCCATGACAACATACTGTCTTGGTTCCCTCCCACCTCACCAAGTTAATCCTTCTCAGACAACTTTGCTGGTTCCCCCTCACATTCCCTACCTCTATGCATTGGAGGGCCCAGTACTTAGTCCTCTTATCAGTCTATACTCACACCCTTAGTGAGCTCATCCAGTGCCATGGCTTTACCAACTACATACTGAAGACTCAACTTAGTCTCCAGCATGGACCTCTCCCCAAATCTAGCCTCATATATTCATTTCTACTTGGATGTCTAATAGGCATCTAAAACTAAACTCCTAATCTCCCCACACTCACCTCCCCGATCCCCCACCCCCCAAAAAATCTCCTTCAACAGACTCCTCCAACTCAGTAAATGGCAACTCTATCCATTCAGTAGTTTATGCCAAAAAACCTTGGAGTTGTCCTTACTCCTCTATCACACCCCCAGCAATTTCCATTGGCTTTACCTTCAAAATATATCCAAAATCAAGCTGGTGAGAGTACAGTGTTAATAACACCAAAGTCAAGGGTTCAGATCCCCATACTGGCCAGTCCACCGCCCCCTCTCCCTCCAAAAAATATACACTCACACACTCTCTTCTCCAAAAATCTGACTTCTAACCACTTCCTCTGCTACTCTGGTCCACAGCAATATCATCTCTCTTACGGATTCCACTATCCACAATCTATTCTCTACATAGCTGCCAGTGATCTTTCAAAACCATAAGTCAGATTATAGTTCCCTTGGGGACTATCTGAACCCTGTTACCTCTCTGATCTTAGTTCTTATTATTTCTTCCCTTACTTGCCCTGATCCAGTCACCATGGCCTCCATGACGTTCACTTGATGTGCATTTCTCTCTCCTGGGATGTTCTACCCTCAGCTATCTGCACAGTTCACTCTCTTACTAACCCTGCCACTTTAAAATTGCAATCACCCCTCCTCCCTGCATATCATATCCCTTCCTCCCTTGCTTTATTTTTCTCCATAGCACTTATCACTGACATGCTATATGCTAGTGTCTGGTTTTCCCACTAGAATATAACCTCCATGACGGCAGGGATTTTTGTTAGTTTTGTTCACTGGTGTATTCTCAGACTCCAGAACAGTGTTTGGCACATAGTAAGTGCTCAATAAATATTTGTCGGATTGAAGAACGAATAAATCTGAGAGCCGTGGTGGTCCTCAGATTCAAGCTACTGGACCAGACTGCAGATATCACAATAGGGCTAGACTTTGACATATACCCAGGGATCTGGGCCTGTGCTAACGAAAAATGAACTTTAGATATTACATGCCATTTGAATTCCTAGTAAGGTTAGTTAATCCTATCCTTGTCTTACTTGTTTACCTCTTCACTTCCTACCTTCCACACCCCTATCCTCCATGGTCATTTCCTAACCTCAGAACATCCATTCAGCTCTGCCCTGAGAATGCCTGCCTAATCTTCAAGATTTAGATAAAAAATATCATCTTCTTTGAAACCCTCCCCTACACTGCCCTAGCAGAGTTAGTCATTCCTTTCTCTTTGTTATCTGAGTACCTTGTGCAATCCTATAATTTGATATTTGCCCAACTAAACTGAGTCTGCATCGGGGGACAGGAAGAAGAAAAAGCCTAATACATTCTGAGTGCCTACTGTATATCAGGCATTCTATTCCCATTTTAATAGGCATGTTTATTGATTTATTTTACATCAATAAAATGTTATAAAGCATGTTTTATTTTAAAAATAAGAGAACATTTAAAACTGGGAAAAATCACATGAAGCTCTTCCATTCTAACCACTTCCTTTTGTTTTATATCCTTCTAATGTTTGTATGCAGTTTTAATTGCTTAAAAAGTAAGTATACTCATTTACACATACATTTTTATGTGTATTATAGATATACATAAACATTCTTTTTAACTTAGCTCTGTAATAAACATTTTCCATTTATTACAAATTCTTCATAAACATTTTTAATAGTTGCAAATATTCCATGGGGCTTATATATTTACTCCTGCATCATTTTCCAACTGCTGGACATTTGAGCTATCTCTAATTTTTCACTCTTCTAATCAGATGATGAATATTTATCCATTCATTCAATAAACAAAATCAGAGTACCCACTATGTGCCAGGAACTGATGCTACAAATATAAAGTATGAATGAAATGCAAAGTCCTACCCTCAAGTAAATTACAATCTAGAATTCTCTGCATATAGAATTACTATAATAGTACTAAATATAAGACAACCTTAAATATAATGTGATGGCCCATAAATATATGAACTTTGTGAATGGATAAAGACATCACAAGAAAACTAAAGATTAATATCCCTTATAAATATAAATGCAAAAATTGTCAACAAAATACTGGCAAACTGAAATCAGTGGCATACGGAAAGGATTATACACAATGACCAGGGAGATTTATCCCAGGAATGCAAGGTTAGTTCAACATACAAAAATCAGCTTCTCAGCCTGTTTAGCTGAGATCAAGTGTAGTATCTATTCTTATCAGTTTAATCTCTGAGATGCTGTCTATTTGAGGATACAATAGTGAGTGGATTTTTGGTACAAAGAGATGGAGTGTGTAGCTTGCTCTGTCTACTCCATGCAGTCATCTGGTGTTGCCCCCTTGAGAGTAACTATCAGTTACTGCCCTGAGTGCTGATAGAGCAAGGTCTCACTGTCTCTTTGCTCCCACAACCCACTTACTATTTTGTCCTCTAATTAGTGGGGAGGGCCTGTATTGGTTATTTCACTGATAAGCACAGATACTACAAAAAATCAATGTAATATAGCATATTAATAGAATAAAGGAAAAAAACATGACTATCTCAATAGATGGAAGAAAAGCATTTGAAAGAATCCAACACTTTTTCATGATAAAAATAAACACTCAACAAACTAGGAATAGAACTTCCTCAACCACATAAAGGCCATCTATAAAAAAAAAGCCCACAGTTAATGGTGAAAGACTGGATGCTTTCCCCCTAATATCAAGAAAAAGAGAAGATGTTCACTTTTGCTACTTGTATTCAACATTGTACTAGACAATATAGGGTAATATGGCCAGGGTAATTAGGCAAAGAAGAGAAAAAAGGCATCCACATTGGATGAAGTAAAACTATGATTTGCAGATAACACAATCTTACATATAGAAAATCATAAGGATCTACTAAAAACCCGTAGCACAGAATATAAGTTCCAATATACAAAAATCAATTATATATATATATATATATATTTTTTTTTTCCTTTTTTGTCTTTTTTTGTGTCCAGCAACAGACCGCAACCCTCAGTGTCGCGCCCGGACCGGACCGGGACCGGCAACAGGATCGCAACCCTCGGTGCTGCGCCCACCCCTCGCTCAGCCAGTGAGCAGGAACCAGTCTGTATGTGGGATCCGAA